CCCCAAAACCCCAAAACCCCAAAACCCCAAAACCCCATTTTTAAAATTTTATTTTGAAAAATAATTTAAATTATTATAAAGCATGGAAGGAGCTGACTTTGACGACTTCGGTGATGAAGAAAGTGTTGAATATGTACCCAAGCTCAGCAAGCTAGAAGAGGAGTACATGGAGAAAGCCAGAAAACGTCAGAAAGAGAACCTAACTAAACCCCAGATTGTCACTGGGAAGGAATTTAAAGGAACTGCCTTTATTTCAAAACCTGAGACGATCTTCTTTAAAGATTTCGAAGTGGGAAAAACACATGTTCAGACAATCCTTGTGACTAATGTGTCGTTCTCCTTTAACTCATTCAAGGTGATGCCTTTGGATGACTCTATTACTGATTTCTTTGAGATTAAATATACTCCAACAGGACGGATGTCAGCTGGTCTGAGTACTACAATCCAAATCACTTTTGTGCCACAATTAAACCAGGACATAAACTCCTATTTGCCTTTACTAGCTGAGACTGGACCTATAAACATCCCACTGATATGCACTTGCAAGAAGGCATTGATAGAAGTCCCAGAGCCTATTATAGACTTTGCAGATGTCATATTTGGCGAGCAGGCTTCTATTAACCTGAAGATTCACAACAATGGAGCTCTCCCAGCCGAGATCTATATCAAGACCAACAGAGGCGACAAGATCCCTGTCATGGAGGAAGAAGATCTTGAAGAGAAAAAGCGTCGTGAAAAGCAACAAAAAGTAGAAGCTGAGGTCTACAGACAGAGACAGATTAAGGAAGAACTAGAAAAAGCTAATAAGCCCGAAGGCGAAGGTGAGGAAGAGACTAAACAAGAGGGCGAAGGAGAGGGAGATAAGGAACCAGCCCCTATTACTCAGGAGGAGATCGATGCTGCGATGAAGAACCTTGTTTTTGAGGATAATGAATTCGATGAATTTTGTGTCCAGGCTCTCTTTAAAAGACAGAATAATATTGGGAGTTATACAAGCAAGAACTTGTCTTTCACTTTCAAACCAATCAAGCTTGGAAAGATCTTCCAGGAATGTACGTTGTTCTTTGATAACCAGGATTACACTGAGCCCATCCCGATTATTATCAAGGGTACATGTGTGGATGTGCCAATCTATGTTGAGAAGCTGACTTATAACTTGCACACTCTAGTCTATGAGAAGACGTACAGGGACAAGATAGTGCTGTTTAATCGATCATCGAATACAATGAAGTTGCAACTATATTTCCCAAAGGAACTGAAGAACTACCTTGAGTTCAACCCGACACTTGGGTATATCCAAGGAAATGACAAATTTGAGATTTGGATGAAGTTTAAACCAGACAGAACTATTCTGTCAATTAGCAAGAAATTCATCTCAGAAGGAAATAATATTGATATCCCTATTAAGGTAGTCGGCTCAAATCAGGTGATCCCTGTTAGATTCAACATCATTGGGAGGTTTACAGTCAATTCAGTCACATTTAATCCAACAAGCATTGACTTTGGCAATGTATACCATAATTCAGCTTCAAGAGTAAATTTGAATATGGAGAACCATTCTTTGTTACCACAGAAGTTCTACTTTGCCAATCTCCCTAAAGAGATCAGTGTTGAGACAGACAATGGTTGTGGAGTCATGCTTCCTGGTGAAAGCTATCGCTTCAGTATTGCTTACAGGCCTAGTCAAACAACAGCTTACGAAGAAGGCGAGATCTTCTGTAGATTAGTCACAGGTGAGATCTGCTCTCGAGAAGTTAAGGTAAGTTCTTCTGTTTAAACTCCTTAGATTAAATACAAGGTGAATGTAATGAGGCTCCCTTTGAAAATGACAAACACCTTGATTGAATTCCCAGGTTTACCAGAGAAGGAGATGGTTGAAATCGTCACTCAAGTTGAAAACCCTTCAAACAAGACGTATATGGTTGAACTTTGTCCTCCAAAGCATCAGTTGAGTGGCATAATGATCACTCCAGTTGTGATGCAGATCCCTCCTCAAAAATCAAGCCTGATCAGTGTGAAATACAAATCTGAATTCAGAGATTTCAATGCTTTCACACTTGACAACATCCAGAAGGAAGAAGACAAACTCCGAAGAGAGAAAGAAGTAGTTGGCCTGATCAAGAAAGAAGATGATGGCGAAGAACCAGGCGAGGATGGACTCCCACCTCCTCCAATAGACGGCAAGGCTAAGAAACGCAAGAAGAGACGTAACAAGAAATTAGGTATCTAGCCCATCTTTAACCATTTAGCTCAACGCTTGAAGAAGAAGGATGAGGAGGAAGAAGCGCCTGCAGACCCCAAGAAAGGTGGCAAGAAGGAAGAGGAAAAGAAATAAAGACGAAAAGAAAGGAAAGAAAGACCCCAAAGCTGAAGAAGAGGAGGAAGAAAGGAAACGAAAAGAGGAGGAAGAACGTATAGAAAAGGAAAAACAACGGATTGCAGAAATTGAAGCCAAATTTGATTCTGTCGCTGAGCTCAGAAAGATAGGCGGAAAGAAACTTGATTTCTTCCCTGATGATGATAGAAAAAGAGCTCAGCATTATGACTGGCTGATTCCTATGTTCTTTAAAGATACTTCAAAGCCGGATAACGAGCTCAAAAAGACATTTATGGAGGTAAGAACTATTACGGTCACTAGGACTTTGATCCCTCAAGAAGATGTAGTTGACTTTGGAGAAGTCCCAGTCGCCTTTAGAAAAACATATGAAATTCTAATCAAAAATATTGGAGATATTGAGCAGCCATTGAAGATGGAGCCTTTGCCATTATTTGGAGGATTTACAGTTCTAAATGCTAGAAGAACTCTTAAGCCAGGAGAGACTAAGCCAATCTTGGTTGAATTCAATCCATTTACTCAGCAGATTTATGAAGAAAAACTTCAGCTATTCTCTGATACAACTGTAGCATCAGTGATGCTCAAAGGTATTGGAGTCAGGCCAGAGGTAAGAATTGAGCCACAAGATGGACTCATTTACTTTGCCAATATTCTGGTCAATGAGTATGCAGAGAAGGAAATGGAGATCAAAAATGTATCAAACTTCCCTGTAAAATTCAGTTTGGATAAACTTGTCGAAGGAGTTGTCAACAGGAGAGGTTTGAATAACTTCACCTTCATCCCATCTGAAGGAGTAGTACCAAGCAGTTCATCACTGAAAATTAAGATGATTTTCCACCCTGACAGAGTGTCGAATGAATACTTTCAGATATTGAAGTTGAACGTGCCGAATCAAGTCAAGGAGCAAAATATCTACATCAGGGGATACTCCTACGATAGACAAAACTTTATTAGAGAGGATAATCCTTTCATCTGGAGAGATCTCCAATGGTATAAGGACAGAAATTACGAAGAGATCCTTGCTCTCAGAGAAGACGGAGACGAGACCAGAGCTGACGATGAAGAAGAGGAAAAAGCCCCACCTGAGACCAATGAAATCACCCTAGAATTTATTAGATCTGATAACCCAGATGACCTTACTGAGGAAGAGAGGGAGAAAATGTACACAAGGAAAATCACTGTGGGTGGCTGCAAGCTTCTTGACCCTAAGTTAGAGAAGAACGGAGCTTTTGAGATCAACCCACCAGCTGATGAGAAATACTTCGAATGTGATAATCCTAAGGGAGCACTTGCAGGAGGTCAAGAAACCGTAATTTCGTTCAAATTTAATCCACCAGAAGTCGATCCCCTCCTCCAAGAGATAGAGGAGGTCAGGTCCATCGGAAGGTGGGTGGAGAGTATCTGGGAATGTAAAATCACTGGTGGATATGTCGAACAGGGACAACCAGATCTCCTCCCTTACCAGATAAAGTTGAGAGCATATGCCCAGCAGATTTAACCTCAGACTTAAAATCTAGTTATCCAATTGAACTTTCACGGGAAGGGGTTTTGGGGTTTTGGGGTTTTGGGGTTTTGGGGTTTTGGGG